GATAGCTTAGCTAAACCTCGTTTTCGCCAGTCTAATTTATCGTTGAAGACAGAATATGTGCAATACATTACTTAATTTTTTAATCTCATAATTGTCTCTGCACACATTTGTATCCGGTTTTAAAGCTTGCATTACCTCACCTACCTTAATTTTAGTGTATATCGGCATTAAGTTTAGATCGACATGTAAATTACATTGTCCTTTTGGCTTCTCATACAATAACTTGACTCATATCTGCAAATATTCGGAGAATTGCTTTCGTTAATTACAATTAAATAGTTGCGCTTATGTCACATTACCTCTATTCTTAATAAGCCAGAATAGGATCTACTCCTTGCGAGTTTTAGGCAAACTATGGGAATTCGGAGGTCTACCGTCTTATTGAATATGTCCGTTCATTTTCCGTTTCCAATTTCGCTATTTTAACATTGCTCCAAGCCGATCTTGAATCTCAAGCGTGTATTTATGGTTAATTGTGATCATAGATGTTTCAAACTCATATAAGGCCTCCGATATTTTTATTCCGCCCATATTTATAGCTTCTCAGTGTGTCCTCATCACAATCTCATCCAGCTATTCATGCTTATTTATAACACTTTTGATGTGCCTATTCTTTTTGAGAACGTCCATAGGACTATCACAGAGGATGATCTGTAGCTCAGTATCATTCTTATTACTTTACAGGCACCGGTCGATATGCGATCTATGGTTATTTTCATTTATAGGTTTTGATTGCTGGCAATGCCAAATTCTGGTATTGCGCTATAATCTCTATTGACATAGTTCAATTTTATTTAAAAGAAGTTTATTAATTCATAGTCTAAGGGGCCTTGCCATCAGTTTGTCTTGGAGTCGTCTGCCTAGCGCTTTTTGTTCTGGGTCATTTAACAAAATTCGTGAATTTTTCATTACTGGTGTTGGTTCGACCCTGTTTTCGCAAGTTGGTCGGAGAGTCAGGAAGACCTTATGGAATGTTCAAAGTCCTGTGTCCTCTACCATAGTATTCACGATTTCAAGCTTTGGACCATTCCCATGAAAGGTCAAAGGTTTAACTTCATTTGTCTCTTTGGTGGGTTGTAATTTGCTTCTAAGATTGGCAAATCTCACCTGCGATGTCGGCGAAACGTCTGGGAATGTATTAAGTCCGCGGTTTGACTATAAATTAGCATGCATTCTATGGACTCCGGACTTGGTGTGTTCGTCTCGGTCATCTTGCGAATATGACCAAGTTGCGAAAACAAGGTCAAGCACCTACAGGCATAAGTCATTCTTACTCACTTTTTATTCTTGAATTACCAACATTCAGTATTCCCTCATCTCCGGATTTATTTATCTACTCTAATTTTGGGTTGTCACAAACAGCAAGATTATCTTTAATCTAATTGAGCTATGAGTCGATTCCCTTTTTATCGGATTAATCCCAAAGGACTATCCATTGCTATCTTATTTTTTAGCTGGTTAGATGGATTCGCTAACCCAAAAAATATTGTCATTTCATTTTGATTATATAGAGAGAAAGTGCCTAGGATCATTTTAAGAACGATACACACTCTGAGGATTGGAGGGTAGGACGACAATAGGATTCTTATACACAAAGATTTGAAATCGCTCTTACTCTATCTGGGGATTAAATTCACTTTTACTTCCATTGAACACTTTCGGATTGCTTTGTCTTATCCTTCTCTTCTAAACACCGATACTAACCGTCATCCATATTTACTGTTTACAGTTCGTCACTGAATTTCGTTGGGTTTGCCAAATTTCTTGACTTATCCTATCCGACTTTAAATCTTTGTTTAATTGCTCATATTTATTCTTATTTTTGCCGTTGAGGAGTGTTGCTTACTTTACTTGATTTGTAATTTAGCATTACTTTTTTCAGTTAAACTTTTACGCATCACTCTGTATTCTCCCATATAGACATTTTTTCAGCTTGTCTTTTGGTCTACCTTTATTTTCTATCCACAACATACTGACATGAGTTTTTCAACATTATCTACTTTTTTTAGCGCCAGGGTCCTCTGCCCTCTACTCCTTTGCTTAGTTTGCTGATTCGGTTGCGTAATCTTATCGGACAGCCCCGAGATGTGACGGGTCTTATAATTGTCGTTGTGCCAATCTTTCTCACTAAGCTGGCACTAAATTCGGCCTTCAGCACATCTCTGCGTGCTGCTTATGATTAGCTGACGACCTCTTCGTCCATCACAGAATTCCTAGGATGGTTCTATCTGTGATTCCTTGGCCCTTATCGACAATTTCGATTATTCATGTCTCATATTAACTTTATTTTACATTCATCATTTGTCCTTCTTAAATGTGCTCTTATTTTTTTCTATTTTATTCGTCATATCGATTTTTCTTAGTAAAGTAATTTTTACCATTGAAATTGATTCAGGTATATTCTTCATATCGTTTCGACTGATTTCCTAGGTACTAAATTCTCTGCATTTTTCCATTCCACCTCCTGTACCTCCCGAGTTAGCTTATTTCAAATACTCACTTTTGATGATCACATAACTGCATCCTTTAAACCATAGTCCCATTAATCTGTCTTTTCTCCCAGTTTATTATCGACTATGCATTATGCACGACACGACACGTTTTGCTATCTTTTTATAATTGTTTTTAATTTACTCCATAAATTCACTTTGGCTACCCTTTGCCGCGTGAAGATACTACTTCACACATTTATTTCCTTATTTTCGCTCAAGGAATTCCTCCCAATCGGAACGAAAGGTTTTTGCATCCTATCGATGATAAATTAGTTATTCTTCGCCACAGCCGCCTAAAATGTAAAGCCAACTCATAGTTTAACATTCATTTGATTTTTCACCAACTGATACACAAAT